CATTACACGTGTTAGGCGTGATGCGCTGATGCTGCGCGACCTCTTAACTACTTGTGTACATGTGCTTGGTAGCACGCGATAGACGGAGGCATTCCGGCCAGGTCAACGACTGCAAACCCAGTCTCATTCCTATTCGGTTTGACTCAGATTCGAGTGCAAAAGAGAGGAAGGGGCGCATGAAGACGATAATGAAGAGACATACATCTTAATGGAAAAGCAACACGTGTCTCATTGTAATGCGTCCAAGACGTTTGAGACGATCACGAAATGGTTACGAAGGTTGTAAACTGACGGCTAACTTAGTCCCATTCAATACGGAGGGCAAGGCTGCAATTCCGCTTAATTTACTCAAAGTTTCGCGACGCTTTCATTCGTGTGAGACTTCAGACCCAACACTTCAGACACGTATGGGTGGGCTAGTACGCTTGTGGTACGCGTAAATGCGGCCTCCTTTTCGTGGGCTAGAGTGCTCATGGTCGTAGTAAGGATGAATTGTATGACCGCCTAAACATGACATGGGAACACAAACTGCCCAAAATGCATGTGGATTTGCAGCAAATTCCGACGGAATTAGGTTTAGGACTAAGGTGCGGGTTGAGTTTAAGGTTGGAGTTCAGGTCAGAGTTGGGATTAGAGTCAGGACTGCGTCCAGGGTTAAGGGTAGGGCTCGTGTTAACTGTAGTGTTTAGGTTTAGCGTGGGCATAGGATTAAAGTTATGGCTTTGTTTTACCTTAGAATTAAGACATGGGAATAGTTACCCCTCCTGAAATGTATCTCAAAGCCACCTGTTTTAAGAAGACGGAGCCCTCCTAGTTCCTTGTACCGTTTAGACTGCCATACGAGTCATTCCTTCAGCGTCCACTTCCAGAAATCTTAATTCCGACTTGGAACTGAAACCCAAACGAAATTCGGGAGAAGGAGGAGAGGCGGGATAGATGCTGACGAAATCCTCTCCGCTATAAGCAAATTCACGCACAAATAACCACTACGTAGCTACCTCAGCGTTCGCTACGGACGCACTGTTACACGTTACTAAATGGAGTTAACCGCCGCAGTCGACACCGCCTTATAACCAG